AACCCCTCTCTCTCAGTGCAGTGTTAATTTACTGGAGTGTCCAGTCAGTGTGTCTGTATTAACCCCTCTCTCTCAGTGCAGTGTTAATGTACTGGAGTGTCCAGTCAGTCAGGGTGTCTGTATGAACCCCTCTCTCTCAGTGCAGTGTTAATGTACTGGAGTGTCCAGTCAGTCAGGGTGTCTGTATTGACCCCTCTTATGCTCTCTCTAGAAGCCGGGCAAGTGGTGTGCAATGCATGTAAGAGTAGCTTGGATGATCCTGAGACACCAGGAGAAAGTCAAGGTAATGGCATTATGAAGAGAAGATACTTGAATTAAGAGGAATATTTGCAAATCTGCAAAGATTTGTAGTTTTATATGCTACTCTTATCCTGTGCATTATGTCCCAGATTAACAGCAAAATGTACCAGTTTCAGTCTAACGACCCTACTGCTTTCGAACATGTAGTAAGAAGTTTAGGATTGTTGTTAAGAGATTCCCACAGAGCAGTGTGAGACTCTCCAGGCTGAACTAGACCAACTTCACTGTGCTCTTGATTAGGTATGAACTGTGATAATAATCAGACTCTGACAGAGCAGTCTGAGACACTGCAGGCTGTACAGGACTGGACAGAGTTCACTGTAAACTGGGTTAGTGATTAACTGTGATGAGAATCGGGCTCTGAGAGAGCAGTCAGTGCCTCCCCGGTCCCCTGTCGCTTCTGTGCTGTACACTCTGTTGGTTTGCTCACTGTCCTCTCTGCTGCTCAGATGATGCAGGGGGACCCTCACAAGCTGGACTTCCGCACTGACCTGCTGGCCAGGATGCCCGGGGCCAGCTCTCTGCCCACCTCTCACCAGCTGGCACGCCCCGCCTCTCTCTTCTCTGCGGCTGGTGAGTCTGGGTCCGGCTGTCCCCCTTTCCTTTTTGCTCCTCCTGCCCGTTGGAGAGCGACCTTTTCCACATGGATCTGTCTGCACAGATCAACAGGGAGTCGGCCGTCGGTTCCTTCTCTTGACCTCCTTCACCCAGGCCTCTGTCTCGACAGGTGCAGTTCACCCCAGCTCCTCTCCGTTTGTTCCCCCCTCGGGACCTCACTCCTCTTTCCTGGCCCCAGCAACCCACCTAGGTAAGAATCTCTTGGGCGCACACGGCCCTGTCACAGCGGTGTGTCGGCACTTTCGTGTGCACGGCCCCCGTCGCACGGACACTGGTGTGTCGGCACTTTCGCGTGCACGGACACTGGTGTGTCGGCACTTTCGCGTGCACGGACACTGGTGTGTCGGCATCTTCTTAGGTGCAAAAGGTGTCTTTAATTCCAGGAAGCAATCTGTACTTCTGTGACGAGCACTAACCAAGCTCTCCCATTTCTCTCCTCCTCCCGTCTCTCTTCTCTCTCTCCTGCAGATCCCTTTGGTCGCTCCCAGGCTTTCACACCTCTGGGAGCTCTGGGTAATGGGGCGTTTGGCGGCTTGGGCAGCCCCACACTGGGTGAGCACTGTGTGTCTGAGGGAACAGAGCACAGGGTTCGAGTGCAGA